GGTCTTCGTGGCCGGGGGGGGGGCGGCGCCTCCCGATGCCCGGGCGCCTGCCGATGACGAGGGGCAGCTCCAAGATGATCTTCTTGGAGCCCGGGACGCTGACGTAGATCTGCGAGGGCAAGAACCGGAATTTTAAGGGATGTCGGGAACGAGGAGGGGACAAAGCTCACGCGCTGACCGAGCGAGGAGAGCGACGGGCAGCCCAAGCCGCTCACCTGCAGGAAATACTCGACGCGCAGGATGTTGCAGCCCAGGATGGACGGTTTGAGCTTCTTGACGCGGATGGTTTTGCCCCGCCAGGACTCGGACGTGCCCGAGATGATGTGGTTGCCTCGGACGCAGGAGAGTTTCTGGGTGAAGACCTTGGTCTGCCCGTTGGCCAGGTAGGTGTGCTTGGCGATGATGGCCGCCTTGGGCACCACGATGCGGGAGCACGTGTTCTCGAAGTCGGCGTTGATGCAGATCTCGTCACCTGGGGAGGGAACCGCGTTTGGGTTTAGGACGGTCCCGACTTTTTCCTTGTGGGAAGCCTGTTTGAGGTGTTTAACACCCCCCAGGCTTGTCCCACCGCCCCCTGCCCCGCTCCTCCGAGAGGGGAGGAGAGGCTCCTACCTTCGCAAAACCCTTTCCTGTCGATCTGAGCGCTGACTGACACACGTCCATCGGGAATGAACATACAGGACACCTTCTTCTCCTTCTTGGCAGCGACTGGGGACTGCAGGGAAAGCAGACTTGTTACCCAGGCGAAACCTGCCCGCCGCTCCCGGCCCACTCCTTCCTTCCTCTTGGTTTGCAACAAAAGCTCGAGTTCCCCGTGAGGCTCGAGCGTCCTGCCGCCAAGCGAAAGCAGAACAAGCGCCTGGCTTCATCGGCCTTGGTGTCGATTTCTAGAAGTAGCTGGGACTTCTTAAGAACTAAGCATTTAATCCACGCTCAGCACTAAAGCCTATTAGGGGAGCCTTAACGACAGAGGTCGGACTGACCGACCCCGGGGCTTTTCTCTTCCCCCAACGCCCACGACACCCAAACGCCTCGGCGTAAGGCGGCACCCACCAGCAATTCCGGAGTGTTCACGTCCACGGGATCCATAACCTCGAACCGCTTCTTTATCTCCTGGGTGGGAAGGGAGGGGCGCTCCAGGAACGCCTTCACCCAGTAATCCACACAGCCGTACTTGCCCTTGAAGGTGGTACCCAGAGGCCTGTGGACAGAGACACTCGTCAGGCCCATCTGCGGCAACAGGAGAATTTTCCCTAGAAATCCAATTTAATTTTCTTTGAAGAGGCAGCGTTCGTCTCATACTCACCCCTGGGGAAGCTCGAATCCGAATTTGTACTCGTACTTGTTCCCAGGTCTCAGGATTACAGAGCCGTCCCCATCTGGGAAAAGAAAAGGGGAAGGGCAACGTCAGCTTCAGCTCCACGGGTTGGTTCTTAAACCCCATCCTCTGTTCTGCTTACACAGGCGCTGACGAAGCCGCGCGCCGCACGGGCTGGAGCTGCGCTAGCTGTTTGCTAAGAGCCGCCTACACCTGTCCCCCAAGCACAGCCCGAGAACTCGCTGTCTTCTCGAAGCAGGGAAGCGCCGCTCGTTTACTCTCACTTCTCCTTTCAACATCCCCGCCCCAGGCCAGAACGCCCTGTCCCGATGCGCTCGGGCCCTGTTACCTCTCCTCGCCACACCCCGCCTCCACTCCGTGGGAGTACCAAGTACTCGCGTCTCTCCCCGGCTATCTCCTTATCTCCGAGACTTCACCTGACCCCCGGTATCTCCCGGGACGCTCTGCCAAGTCCCTGTCTCTCGCCTTCCCTGGAGCCAGCCTGAGGAGGAGGCTGCTGAAGGAGTTCTCCGTGCCCAGGAGACGAAGCTCCTTGTCTGGGGCGAGACCTGCGCTTGCCACTCCCTGCCCACCACCCGTCCCGGGCACCGCACCCATCCAGCGGCACCTCCCGACACCCAGCCAAGGCCAAGCCCGGTTCTCGCTCCCTGCAGGCACACGGCATCGCCGCCTGTTCCGCGAGCCGCGCCAGCCATGCCAGCTCCCGTACGCTCCGACAGGCTTCTGGGTTAGGCTCTAGTCAGGGCTCAGCAGCCCTCAGCTTTCAAACTTTGAACTTGACTTAGCCCAGCCCTGCTGTCCTCCGCCTGTTCGCAGGTTTCAATACTTTTCCTTACTTCTGCCAAGACTCCGGTAACAGCTGATCCCGCTTCCGTCCTGGTGCTGAGCCCCGACACCAGCGCCAGAACCAGCCCGGTTGACTCGTACCCCAACGGGATGCAACCGGAGACTCGCTCCAGCCTCCTGAGACCCAACCAGCCAGAAAAACCGCCGGCCCCTGGATGAGCTCTCTTCTCCCCACCACCTTTAGCCCCCCAACTCCCTTCTCCCAGCCCCAGAGCCTCACCCGTGGGCTGCTCCTCCAGAGTGAGGACGTCCTCGAAGCGCAGGTACTCCATCTCCTGCCTGCACTGCTGGGGGCCCTTGGCCCAGTTGACTTTGGCCACCCCGCAGGCCAGCACCTTGACGGCGCTGACGCGAGTCACCTCGGCCACCTCCACCAACACGCGCCCGGCCACCTTCTCCCCGCTGCAGTAGACCTTCTCGGGCTCGCTGAAGGTCATCAGGAAGGTCTTCACCTTCTTGAACATCACCATGGCTGAGGTGAGTCTGGGGAAGCGCTTTCAAAGGGGCTGCACAGGGCAGGAACTGCGGGTTTTTTTCCCCCTGAAGAGGATGAAACCCCTCTGAAACAGGTCAATTTCAGTCAAAAAGGGCGAGTTAACCCTTTGCTTCCTGGCGTTACAGGGCTACGGCGGGGCTGCTCCGCGTTACGGCCGCTCCGCACCGCTCCCTGCCCTCAACGCTTTGAGAGCGGCCCCCGCCGGCCGCCGCCTTTTATAGCCTCGGCGCCCGGCCCGCCCCCCCCCCCCCCCCGCT